GGAGCTAAGCGCTAACTGATCCTGTTGCTGTTATTTGACCTTATGACCCCTACAGTTTTCTAAGGTCTTTGGTGACGTCAGAATCAGCACTAACTGACTGAAGGGTGTACTTAGTTTTTCTCCAGATGCTAACTCTGTGTTTGAATAATGAATATTTATGTATTTAGTTCAGGTTTAAGTCGCTGGTTTTCTCTGCATTCAGTGCTGGAGGAGCAGAGGGGTGTACTTTCTTACTTTCTTTCTTTCTTTCTTTCTTTCTTTCTTTCTTTCTTTCTTTCTTTCTTTCTTTCTTTCTTTCTTTCTTTCTTTCTTTCTTTCTTTCTTTCTTTCTTTCTTTCTTTCTTTCTTTCTTTCTTTATTTCTTTCCAGCATGAACATCCGGGACGTTCAGGTCCAACATTTGGTTCTTCATCATGTGAGGATGAGCAGCAGCTGCATCTAAATGAGAAATTAGCTGCTTCTCAACAATAACAGCCTCTGCTGCTGAAAACCGGCTTTTCTTCCTCTCTGCTCTCCACACGCACGCACACACACACACACGCACACACACACACACACGCACACACGCACACACACACACACGCACACACACACACACACAGCCTCCTCCTCCCTCTCCTCTTTGCTGTGCTGCTTCTATAATTCAGATTCTGTCATGCTTGTTCCAGAATGCTGGCTGCAGCCCCACCGCCTCCTCCTCTTCCTCCTCCTCTTCCTCCTCCTCTCTCTCCTGGAGTAGAAAAAAGAAAAAGCTTTGGAGAGAAAGAAAAAAGGTCTTTGAGGGACAAAGCTGACAGAACCGCACACAGACAAACACAGCGAGAGAAAACTAAACGGAAAATATTGAAACTCTCTCTCTCTCTCTCTCTGTCTCTCTCTCTCCCTCTGTCTCTCTCGCTCTCTCTCTCTTTCTCTCTTTCTCTCATTAGTTCAGTTTTCTGCTCTCTCTCCATCCCTGGTTCTCATCAGAATCAGGATTTTATTTCTTCTTTTCTTTCATTTAAAAGTTACTGGACCGATTTAACAAACAGGAACTATGTTTCCCATGATGCTGCTGGGCTGGTAACGTTGACCTATGACCTCTGGATGTGAATCAGATGAATGTTGTGGGTCACAGTGAGATGAGTTGTTGGTTGCATTCAGCATCTTTAAACCCTTAAAGTGTAATTGATGCAGCACTTCAGCCTGCAGGCAGGGGGCAGCAGAGCGCTCAGGTGTTGCTCAGAGTCTCAGAAAGGCTGTTAGCATCAGTGCTAACATGTTAGCTTCATTCTGCTGCTGTAAAGGGGAGTCGTGACCTTTTAATAAAGTGACCAGGTTTCCTAATCATACTTCATAATTTAATGCTTCAAACTGGGTCTCTGTCTCTTTAAGAAGCTCGTTTTTATGTAAAATCCAGCTTTTATTTTGATATTCTACTTCCGTTTATTCGCAAAATCTGTTTGTATATTAGCTGACATACATATTTCCTTTGAAACGCCATTGTTATTATTTGTTTTTATTTTTTAATCCAACCAAACATCTGTGGAGTCAAGAAGGACAAATATTCTTTATGAATAAAAATCTGAAAAGTGTGGTGTTCATTTTTTCAGCAGGTCAGTCCACTTGGATTCAGAACGTCCCACAGATCCTCAGCTGGATTTAGGCCTGGACTTTGACTAGGCCACCGCAGCCTGTGACTGCTGTGATGTTCAGCAGCTGAGGGACAGCATGTCTGTCCAACTCGTGGGAACGTTTTCCTGCAGAGACACGACCGCTCTGGTGTTCCCACAACACAACGAATGGCAGAAAAATCATCCAGTTTGACAAATGAAACATAAATAATATCTGAACCAGGATGAGCTTCGGCTCATTCAGGCTTTTAGTTTGATGACTTAAAACTCAACATTCAGTTAGAATATGAGAAAAAATGGAATATTGGAACCTGGACATCTAATAACTCCAACCATAAAAACGTCATGAAGAAGCTGCTGCTTGTTTACACAGTTCTGTATGCAGTTCTGATGTTACAGAAAGTTGAGTGGAAGGAAGAAATGTGAAAAAATGCAGCTTTGAGAGGATCGTTTGAAATTCAGAGGATAGAGTCAAAACATCTGGATCCGCTTGGCTCAGTAAGACCAGAACCTGGAAACAAGTATCTGGGCTGAGGAGAACCAGAACCTCTTCCTCCTCCTCTTCCTCTACATATCCTCTTCCTCCTACTCTTCGTCCTCTTCCTCCTGCTCTTCCTCCTCTTCCTCCTCCTCTTCCTCTACACACTCCTCTTCCTCCTCTTCCTCCTACTCTTCCTCTTCCTCTTCCTCTTCCTCCTCCTCCTGCTCTTCCTCCTCCTCCTGCTCTTCCTCCTCCTCCTCTGTTTTCTCTCCTCCTCGTCCCTCTGGAGAATAGGGGTCATTGCACACATGATTACTCAGACCCCGGTCTCCATGGCGATGCTGCCGAGTAACGGCGACAGGCCGATCAGCGGCTCCATGTTTCTGAGGTGCAGAGGAAGAGGAGGAGGAAGAGCAGGAGGAAGAGCAGGAGGAAGAGCAGGAGGAAGAGCAGGAGGAAGAGGAGGAGGAAGAGGAGGAAGAGGAGGAGGAAGAGCAGGAGGAAGAGCAGGAGGAAGAGCAGGAGGAAGAGGAGGAAGAGGAGGAGGAAGAGGTTTCATCCGAACTGATGTTCAGGTCCAGATTCTAACAAACCGAAACAAAAAGATAAAAGACATTAAACCTGCAGTGACCAGAGGCAGTGACGCGCTGCGGCCTGCAGGGGGAGCCAGAGAGACGTTTTATTGATCACAAAAAGTTAAATAATAATAATAATAATTTAAAAAACAGAATACAAAACGCTGCCACAGCAGAAAAGATTCATGTTAGGATTAGAAGCGACATGCAGGAGCAAAGTGAGATTATAAACTCAGATTACAGATTAAAATAATCCTTATTGATCCTGCAGTGGATCAATTACAGCAGTAATCTAAAAAAATATTCTCCAAAGAAATTAATAATATGTCAAAACCATGTAAACAAATGTATTTTAATAAAGTTGTTACAAATCAAATCAAAAGAAACGTCTGGAATATTTTTAATCCAGAAAACATCTCTTTGTGAAAATGTTAAAATCGTTAAGAGGAATATGCTTATAATAGCTGCTTTATGTTTTATGAACATATTTTCATACTTTTTTAACATTTTTATTCAAGATCATATTGGAGTTCTTTTTTTAAAATAAATATTAATTTAATACAGAATTCTTTGTTTATTCCTAGAATAATGAATTTTCCAAAACAAACAAATGGTTTAAACATCTTAAAGGGGCAGTGTCATTTTCAAGTCGGGGGGGAGGAGCTTCGTCTCCAGGGCGGGGCTAGGTCCACCGGGCTGTTGCCATGGAGATAAAGGTTTATCAATCATGAAGAATTAAAGGTAAATAATTAAAAAACGATTAAAAGTTGATTTTACAGAACATTAGCCGCTTTAGAATGAATATAGAGAAACAACATTCAGCTTCTATGCACCATAGATCTGGAACAAACTTCCAGAAAATGCAAAACAGCCGAAACACAGAGAGCCGAAAAACCAGCTGGTTATGAATCGTTAATATTTGATGTTTTAAATGAAACGTTTGTTTCTCATTTATTGACTGTTTGTTGTTTTTATGCTTTTATGATGGAAAACATTTTGACCTGATGCTGAAATGTTCGTTCTGATCAACTAAATTTATTAATTTACAAGAGAATAACTGAGTTTAACAGTCTAGTCAAAGTCCGGACCACAGTTTTTACATTCATAACGAACCTTCATCACATCTTGACCTGCAGCTCAGTGATAATCAATAATGATCAATAAATCAGCAGGTTCTGGTTCCTCAGTGCAACCAGAACCTGAGACTGAGCAGAACACAGGACCGGTTCTGGATCAGGACCGGTTCTGGATCAGGACCGGTTCTGGATCAGGAATGGTTCTGGATCAGGACCGGTTCTGGATCAGGAATGGTTCTGGATCAGGACCGGTTCTGGATCAGGATTGGTTCTGGATCAGGATTGGTTCTGGATCAGGACCGGTTCACAGGAACAAATGTTTTCTGGAGCAAAGGAGAGAAAAACTGCAGCAAGAGAATAAATGGAAATAGAAAAGACACAAGAACCAAAACTGTCTCTCTTTCTCTCTCTCCATCCTTTATCTCTGTAAATAGCAGATGTTCTGATCACAGTCAGTATAACTGGAGCTGCAGCGCCCTCTACAGGTTCAGCGCAGGTTACTGCAGTCTATCCGAGGGGCTCCTGGCCCTGAACCTCCTGCAGGGGCCACAGACGCTTCCTGCTGCCTGTGGAGCCGCGGCGCCGCCCTCACCTGCCGGACATCCCGGCTGTGACGGTGGCCAGGAGGCGGACCCCCCGCAGGTTGATGCGTTCAGGTTCCGGTCAGGATGAGTTTGAGTTCCTGTTGGAATCAGGAATGTTTCTCTGCCTCTGATTGGTCCAGTTTGACTGAAATGCTCCAGCTTCCGGGTCCAGAACCGGATTTGAAGCTTTAGGTTCAGGATGAATGACGTCACTTCCGTCTGAGTGCAGAAACGTTTCCAGGAAGAAGAAACCACTTCCCGTCGAACATTCCTGCTGTTTCCTGAACCGAACACACGTTTTCTGTTGTTACCCACAAATGAACTAAATCTGAACCCTGAGTTCAAAACACTATTTAGTTTATTCATTTAAGCTTCTAACAGTTTAGTTTGTGCTGCTGCTGCTGCATGCAGCCGCGGAGTTTGCTGAACTTTTCTCAGATCAAGTTTTCCTGAAGTCATTTCGTTCCTGTCATTCTGCTGCTGGATTTGAATAGTTCAGAGGAGCCGCCAGCCGCTCATTGGTCCGCAGGGAGGGCTGCTTTGAGCGCGCGGCTGTCTGTCAGCGGAACGCCGGCCGCTGATTGGCCGGCCGCGGCGCGGGGCGGGGCGGGCTCAGCGCGGGGTATAAACGCAGCCTCAGCCTCCTGAGCGGCTGGAAATGAGTGCTGGTCCTCAGCGGCGCCGCGGCGTCTCCGATGTTTCCACTCACAGCTGACTGGAGCAGCTCAGCCAGAACCGTGCCCGAGCAGTGACAGGCGGTTCCGGAGCCGGATGGAGGTGGACCGGGGCGCCATGGAGTGCGCCGTGGACGCGCAGAGCCTGATCTCCATGTCCCTGATGAAGATCCACAGCTCCAGGACGCAGCGCGGCGGCATCAAGCTGCACAAGAACCTGCTGGTGTCCTACGTGCTGCGCAACGCGCGCCAGCTCTACATCAAGGAGAAGTACGCGGAGCTCTACCGGATGCAGCAGTACGAGGAGGTGATGGCGGTCTGCAGCGGGATCCAGGAGCTGGACCCGCTGGAGCCGCAGGGGCGGAGGATGCGGAGCCGCAGGAGCCGGGACGCGCCGCGGGCTGCGCGGAGGAGAGCCGGGTGGCGGGCGGGCGGGAGCCGGAGCCGCCTTACTACCGGAGCTGCTGCATGGAGGACCAGTTCTCCCAGAACTGCAACAAAACCACCGTACTGGACCTGGACACGCACGTGGTGACCACGGTGGAGAACGGCTTCCTGCACCAGGACTGCTGCTGCGCCGCCGCGCCGCAGTGCGCACCGGACGCGCCGGGCGCCGCGGCCAGGAAGCGGAAGGTGGACTCCGCCGCTTGCTGCCCGGACGCGGAGGAGCCGGCGGACTACACGGCGGGGCGGAAGCGGTTGAAACGGGAGGAGTGCTCCGGCGCGGACTGCAGCCCGGACGCCTCCAACATCTCCAACCTGATCTCCATCTTCGGCTCCGGCTTCTCGGGGCTGCTGAGCCGCCAGGCCGACCTGGAGCAGGTCTGCAGCAAGCAGGCGCTGGCCAGCCTGGGCGCCTGGACCCGCGCCATCGTGGCGTTCTGAGCCGCCTCTTCGTGACCAACCGTTTCGTACCGTGTCCGACGCGCTGATTTGTAACATTTTTATTTCGTCATGAATATAAACGGTCATAAATGTTCCGATGTTCGGTTGGTTCTGATCTGGTTCGGTTCGGTTCGGCAGAGTCAGAATCAGCTGTTTCATGCTCGGGTACGAAATGGTGCAGGGACGGAACGAGCACGGCAGGGAGACCGGGCTCAGCTGTTCTGTGTGGGAACATTTCAGAGGCGGGTCCAGAGTTTACAGGTGGGGGGCCCCAGAGGGCAGGGGGCCCCACAGGGGCCCCGTTTTGGTGGTCCTCCACTCTTCTTCTTCTGCTGCTGCGTCTCATTTCTATAGTTACACAGTAAAACATGAACAGCAATAATTTGGTTTATTTTCACAACAAAAGAGAAATTGTGGATTTATTTTTTTGTCATGTTTCTTGTTCCTACATTTATAAATGTCAGACTTTCAAACTAAATATTAAATCAACAAGCTAAATATTTAACTTTCAACTAAATATCCACCTCCAAACTAAATGTTTACAAACTAAATGTCGGATCAACACGGCGCCTTTCCTGGCTCAATAATTGGAATCATTTTTGCTGTTTTGCTGCGTGGCTTTAAAAATGTCTGCAGAGCCAACAGGAAGTGACACGTTTGCACGTTTCAGGCCGAGTCGGCCATCTTGACTCGCCTGACATCCTGAACTGGTCCAGGTTTTACCTCAGAGCGGCGTGTCGAAACCTGAACCAGGAAGTGGAGGATGCAGCTGAGCTCGGCCTCCGAACCGGGTCAGAACCGGGACAGAACCGGGGTCAGAACCCGGACAGAACCCGGACAGAACCGGGTCATCCCTGAGGAACTCCCGTTGCCTTAACTCTGAAGCTCGCTGAACGTTTTCAGCAGCATGTTGGAGAAACAGACTCCAGATCTGAAACGTGGATGTGTTTCCATCATGGCCGCCGTTCTGCAGAGTCCCGGCTCGGTTCCGTGGGTCCGAACATTGTGAGAACGGATCGGAATTAGTCCTTTTGTTTTAGAAAGGGAAGCTCCTGGTTTCAGCGCCGCCCGGGGATCCTGCGCTAGCTTTACGAGCACTATGTGTACCAAAAACAGAGAACTCAGCCATTCTCCACATATTTTCTTTGTTATTCTTGTATTTTTGTGCTTAATAAATTGTTTATCTCCGGGTCAAACTGTTCGAGAAAGTACTTGTTAATTTATAATCTTAATAAAAAATAAAAGTCTTTCATCTGAACTGTCGTGTTTGAGTTTCAGCACAAGAAACCTGTTCAAATAATCTGAATATGTTCAGGATTGATGAACCTCAGATGATTTAAGATGAACTAAACAGACCAAGGTTTCTGGACTTTGAATAGGCCATTATTTTCTGTTGTAGACCGGGCACATTTGACTGGAATACTTTTTTCATAAATGAGTTTGTAGTGATGGAACTGCTAGCTAAAAAGCTAGCTGCAGAACACAGTAACGCTAAAGTGCTACATCAGCAGAAGCTAACATTTAATCCTGGTATTTAGTGGAAGCTAATGCTAAAGTGCTACAACACATTATTTAGCGCAGCTAACACTCTATCCCAGTGACATTTAGCTGAAGCTAACGGAGAACATGAGGAGAGAAAAAGGATCTTCACCCACTTCAAAATAAGAGCATGAACAAAAGCAGCTAACTTATTTAACAAAAACTTCAGTTTATAAGTTTATATAAAAGCAAATTAGTGCCTTATTATTTACCTGGAGCAGCTAACAGCTGATTGGTTCCTCCATGTTTCACTTGGTTCCACAATCTTGTGTTTGCTAACATCAGTCCGGCAGCCATCTTGTTTCTCCTTCAGCTCCTCCAAGCAGCCATGCTGGTTCTCCCGACCTTTGACCTTTAGCCTGCTAACAGACAGTTAACAGGCAGTTTGGAGATGACCTTTGACCTTTGACCCTTTCTTAGATTGAGGACAGCAACCGTTGCTCCTTCATAGTCGTTGCTGATGTCTTCCCGCCCTGCTGTGGTGCTAACAGCTGCTAACTGAACATGAAGAGATGAATTTATTTCTCCTCCATTTTGAATTATTAGTAAAATTTGAGGCATTTTTAAAAATCTAAGGATATTTTTTATCTATTTTTCAGGTCATATATTTAATGTAGTTTAATATGACACGTTTTTAAAGTGATTTAAGGTTTTAAATAGACAGAATAGTGAAGTTATTGGAGCGCTTTTCCTGGTTTACTTTGACTAGACTGCCTGCCTGCTGTTATCTCTGCTCTGTGCCACTTGGTGGAGTTCTTTAAAATCAATGAATGAAGATATCAGCGCCACGGAGCGGAGCCACCGCCGGCCCACCCTGCCTCCTCCTCCTCCTCCTCTTCCTCCTCCTCCTCCTCTTCTTCCTCCTCCTCCTGCTGCTCTGCAGGGCGGAGGAGGAAGAGGAGGAAGAGGAGGATGAGGATGGTGAAGTTTGTCCAGATTTAAACGATGAAGATGAATCTGGCTGAAAGCAGAACCGGATCGGGTTCGGTTCTGAAACCGTTTGTCTTCTCAGAGAGACTGACACACACACACACACACACACACACACACACACACACACACACACACACACACACACACACACACACACACACACACACACACACACACACACACACACTGATCTGACATTGTTTATTTTCATCTTTTAGATGAAATAAGTCATAAAGATCAACATTCAGAAATAAAATGTTTTATTTTTATGGGATTGGTTTTGTGACGGGTCCAGGTGGTCCGGTGGGGTTCTGGGTGGGGGTTCTGGGTGGGGGTTCTGGGTGGGGGTTCTGGGTGGGGGTTCTGGGTGGGGGTTCTGGGTGGGGGTGGCTCTCATGTGACAGCAGAAAGGAGTGATGAGGTGGGGGAGGCTGGGCTGGAGGTGGACTGGGAGGAGCTTACTGGTCTTACTGGTCAGGGCTGATGGAGGAGGGGCAGCTGGATAAATAATTCAATTTCCTCTAAAACAATCTGAGCTTCATTTACTTTATTATAACAAGTTTCAGCTGCAGGTTGGAGAAACAAACCTTTATTTATATTCATATTTATATTATTAATAAAATAAAAGAAGAAAAACAGACAAAAACAGATTTGCAGGAAAATAATTTTGTACAAAAAGGAGTGAAATGTTTACAGGTTTGAAATCCTTTATTTTGTTCAACGTGATTTAAATGTTTATCCTATAAATATCCTTACATGTTTTATAACATTGTGACAAATATTTATTGGAGCTTAATGTGGAAGACCACCAGAAAATACTTTATAATGGAAAAGCTGAAAGAAAATTATACAATATTCAAAACATTTTTACAAAAAAAAAAAAAAACTCTGAAAAGTGCGGAGTGCAAACAGATGTGGAAAAATGCAAAAGTTTAAGGGTGTGAATACTTTTGCAAGCCACTTTAAAAACGACCAAAACACAGAAAACATTTATTTATTTTAAAATTGAATAAAAATCAGGAAAGATTTTTTTTAAATAAACAGAACATTTCCACCAAAAAGCTCAAAAATTTTATCGAGACAAATTTACCTCAAAAATATTCTAGAAAAAACATCTTTCAAACATTTCAGACTTTGGAAGATTGAAAATTTGACTTAAAAAAAAGAAAGAAAAATTCTAGAAAAAAAGTGAAAATGTCTGAGAACCAAAAGTAATTTTTTTTTAATTCTAGAAAATTTTCCACTTTTCAAAATTTCTAAAAAAATTCTCAGATTTTTGGTCCTTCAGTGATTTTTGTCCTTTTTAGTTTCTCTGTTTTGGCACTAATAGGCCGCCGTATCCAGAGACCCCAACAGGCTGCCCTGCATTATGCCTGATTTATATTCTGAGTTTCTGTTTTAATTAAAATTAAAACAAACAAAAAAAAAAACACCCAGTCGACGTGTGTTCATGAATATTCATGAAGCCCCGCCCACATTTAACCCTGATTAGGAAACCAGGCTGCAGCTCATTTGCATATTTGGGATAATTTATGCTGGATTTCCTAAGTGGGTCGCTGAGGTCTAGTTCAAGTTTTATGAAGGCCATAAAATGAATCCAATCATTTTAATGTTTTTATCTGCAGATTTTAATATTTGATCAGTTTTTATTTTTTATCTTTATGTTTATAAAGATAAACTTTTGATTTTAGTTTCTGTTTCATCTGCAGCTGCATCCCGTTGGAAAACTTGAGACCCAGACAAGTCCGAACGGGTCAGAACCGCAGCTGTCCCATTCCAAGCATTCCTGCACAAAACTGTGTGCCTGCTGGTGATCTGCTGCTGGGAGAACTGGGAGAACTGGGAGAACTGGGAGAACTGGGAGAACTGGAAGAACTGGGAGAACTGGGAGAACTGGGAGACCTGGGAGAACTGGGAGAACTGGGAGAACTGGGAGAACTGGGAGACCTGAGATAACTGGGAGAACTGGGAGAACTGGGAGACCTGGGAGAACTGGGAGAACTGGGAGAACTGGGAGAACTGGGAGAACTGGGAGAACTGGAAGAACTGGGAGAACTGGGAGAACTGAGATAACTGGGAGAACTGGGAGAACTGGGAGACCTGGGAGAACTGGGAGAACTGGGAGAACTGGGAGACCTGGGAGAACTGGAACTGGGAGAACTGGGACCTGGGAGAACTGGGAGACCTGAGATAACTGGGAGAACTGGGAGAACTGGGAGAACTGGGAGACCTGAGATAACTGGGAGAACTGGGAGACCTGGGAGAACTGGGAGAACTGGAAGAACTGGGAGAACTGGGAGACCTGAGATAACTGGGAGAACTGGGAGAACTGGGAGAACTGGGAGACCTGAGATAACTGGGAGAACTGGGAGACCTGGGTGAACTGGAGAACTGGGAGACCTGGGAGAACTGGGAGAACTGGAGACCTGGGAGAACTGGGAGAACTGGGAGACCTGAGATAACTGGGAGAACTGGGAGACCTGGGTGAACTGGGAGAACTGGGAGAACTGGGAGAACTGGAAGAACTGGGAGAACTGGGAGACCTGGGAGAACTGGGAGACCTGAGATAACTGGGAGAACTGGGAGAACTGGGAGAACTGGGAGACCTGAGATAACTGGAGAACTGGGAGACCTGAGATAACTGGGAGAACTGGGAGAACTGGGAGAACTGGGAGACCTGAGATAACTGGGAGAACTGGGAGAACTGGGAGAACTGGGAGACCTGAGATAACTGGGAGAACTGGGAGACCTGGGAGAACTGGGAGAACTGGGAGACCTGGGAGAACTGGGAGAACTGGGAGACCTGGGAGAACTGGGAGAACTGGGAGACCTGGGAGAACTGGGAGAACTGGGAGACCTGAGAGAACTGGGAGAAACCAGCAGGAAAAAGGTGACAGTTTGTTTGGGTCCGGCTGCTTACGGAACATCAGCTGCTGTTGAGCAACATGTTGAGCAACATGTTGAGCAAAATGTTGCTCAACATGTTGCTCAACTTGTTGCTCAACATGTTGCTCAACTTGTTGCTCAACACGTTGGTCAACTTGTTGCTCAACTTGTTGCTCAACATGTTGCTCAACACGTTGCTCAACTTGTTGCTCAACTTGTTGCTCAACACGTTGCTCAACACGTTGCTCAACTTGTTGCTCAACACGTTGCTCAACTTGTTGCTCAACTTGTTGCTCAACATGTTGCTCAACACGTTGCTCAACTTGTTGCTCAACTCGTTGCTCAACACGTTGCTCAACAAGTTGCTCAACTTGTTGCTCAACACGTTGCTCAACTTGTTGCTCAACTTGTTGCTCAACATGTTGCTCAACACGTTGCTCAACACGTTGCTCAACACGTTGCTCAACACGTTGCTCAACTTGTTGCTCAACTTGTTGCTCAACACGTTGCTCAACTTGTTGCTCAACTTGTTGCTCAACATGTTGCTCAACACGTTGCTCAACTTGTTGCTCAACACGTTGCTCAACACGTTGCTCAACTTGTTGCTCAACACGTTGCTCAACACGTTGCTCAACTTGTTGCTCAACACGTTGCTCAACTTGTTGCTCAACATGTTGCTCAACACGTTGCTCAACTTGTTGCTCAACACGTTGCTCAACACGTTGCTCAACACGTGCTCAACACATTGCTCAACATGTGCTCAACTTGTTGCTCAAACTTGTTGCTCAACATGTTGCTCAACACGTTGCTCAACTTGTTGCTCAACTTGTTGCTCAACACGTTGCTCAAC